GAGAGAGAGAGAGAGAGAGAGAGACCTGCAACATGCAGCATGTCAGTGGCGGGGAGCACAAGGGCAGGCGCTGACCTCCAAAAAAAAAGTAGTAATTCAATTGGAATACAAGAGTTTTTTCCTTTCGAAATCCGAATAGAAAGGGTACCCGTTGTATTCGAATACAACCTGTACGATTTCTATTCGAGGTACTCTGCTATTCGAGAAAAGTGCACCCACACCGTTTCAATTTCGAAAAAGGCTTAAGGACCATGGCCTCCTCGGCCTCCTACGGGCAGCTACCGGTCCTACGTGGTCCTGGCCCTTGCAAGGCCCCAAAACCTCAAAATGCTCACCCTCCCGACGACGTTGAAATTTGATTGACGTTGAAATGTCTCAGGGGGGAAAACGCAACCCTGACGGGCTGCGAACAGCGGCCTCCTCGGCCTCCTACTCGGTCCTGGTCCTTGCAAGGCCCCAAAACCTCAAAATGCCCACCTTCCCGACGACCACCGACGTTGAAATTTGATTGACGTTGAAATGTCTCAGGGGGGGAAAATGCAACCCTGACGGGCTGCGAACAAGGTCCGGGTACAGATGCAACATTCCCCAAAAAAACAGCATTTGCTTTCGCCTCCACAAGCAAGGTCCCACAACCAACGAGATAAGGCAATGCTCTCCCCGCGCGGCATATGTGGGACATTGACTTACCGTGAGGGCACGCACGGGTGTGCAGCCCGTAGTTCGTTTGTTGATGCGGTTGGGGAAGGGTGTGGTAGTGATTATACCACCAGCACTTGGGCCATACATCTGTCGCGGGCCTTCCCCGTTAACGCGCCGCAACCTTAGGGGCCGGCCAAGGGAAGCTCCATTCGTTGCTGAATGGCCGCGCCCCGGTTCAGTTTGCATGACACCAAATAATAAAAGAGCAAAGAAAGAAAAAAACGGATTCAAATACACAAAAGTAAAAAAAAAGAAAGCGAAAGGGCAAAAACAAAGTCACATACGTGCGCGCGCGGGCGCACGAAAGAGAGAGAGAGAGAGAGAGAGACAGAGAGAAAGAGAGAGAGAGAGCTCAGCAACGGGATTGCATCTTCCCGCGAAAGTGGGAAAATTCATTCCTGTTTTTATTTTTCAAAAAGCGCGCGCGCGCGAGAGAGAGAGAGGGGCGGTGACCTGCACGGAGGGCCGCGGCTCTCTC